ACTCACTCCTTCCTTTTTATTGAGAAAACAGTAACATTGACGTATTGCAGTAACATGAAGCCATATTCACTCATAGGATTGACATACACAAACAATTTTTGGATCTTATTTATTTCAAATTTAAGGATGTTTTTAATTGGATTGAACTTTTCTCGTTTGATTTTTCACTGTTAGTTTTGGCCTTTTCGGAATAGAGTGCATTTTCATTCATGGAAGGGTTTTAATGTCTATGAAGTATTTCTTATTGATCAATCATAATGTTGAAAATTGATATGCTTACATTATCGGCAATTACTTGACTTTTCGTGTGTTGCTGCTTTGAGCGGTTCGTGCACCCTTCTTGTTTTCCTGACATTTTATATTTCAGATTCTATTTCTTAATTTTTTTTCTAGAAGGAAAAAAAGAATAAAAGAGAGAACCCCCCATAAGGCCATAACCAATATCAGCCCTCTGTAAGGTTCATGTGCTTGATGGAACTCCTGAGTTCTGTTTGGAAATTTCTTTGAGAATATTAAAATAATGCTTTTCTATGAGTCATTTAATCTCTCATGCTTCCCTCAAATCTCACATACTCTACCCAGTGCAACATGGGAAACAACTTACAGTCCGGAGAAGTGTCTGTATAAAATGCTTTAGGATCCTTTTCAGCTCTCTCATTTAAGGTACTATACCATTCTGGCCTTCTGTGTTGTATCAGATAGTATTCTTCTGTTCTTTACCCTTGGATAGCATGAAGCTACTCAGGTTTGAAATCTCTTACTCTAGAGTACCCTTTACCTTTACTAGTGAATGTTAAGGCAACCCTTCACCATAAACTTCTTCAACCAAGTCTTAGACCAGTGATAAATGATCAACTTAAGTTGATTTATAAATCGGTGGTCTTCATTCCAGCCTGCCTTTACTTAGACAATGTCTTAGAAACTTCCAAGAGTTCAAGCATAAATGCATAAGTATCATATTGTTAGCTTGATTCTACTACAATGTTTTAGTTCTTTGTCCTCTATCAGAATCCAGAATGATGAGTTTAAGCTAATTAGTTAAACCAAAATATAAATGTAAACAATATACAAGTATAGTTCATGATTTATGATGGCACTACCTTTACCAAAAAGCATGCCTTTTTTGGGTTGATGTATTTTTAAAACATTCATGGTATTGTGAGGTACTGAGGCGAACCATTATTTATGAAAGTTTTGAATTAAGTTGTACGGGTTAGGATGTAACGAATAACATATATTGCAAACCAAGATCCTAAAGTGGCATTGGTGTTCAAGCAGTTGGATACTTGGATTTCCTTGTGTCTTCAGTCTTCACAATCCAATTGTTTTTCCTTGGATGTTTATATTAAATATAAAAGAAGGGTAAAAAGCATTTTGACAAGCCCCCAATGGTTCAGTGTAATGGTTCTTGAAATCTCCCTCTGAATCCTTGGGCTTGTGCTTCTTGAAATTCTGATAATCAAACCCCCTCTAAACAAACTCCTAGCCATTTTCCCAAACAAGTGATGTGGCTATTATTCACCTGTAAAAAGTGTAAAAAGTGATATGATGTGTTAAACAATACTACCATGATGTAAGACTTTTTGTTAGAATATATGTACCACTAGCATAACTCTGAGGTGCATTTGTCTTGGCCTAACAACATAAACAAAAAATTATACATATTTTTATAATCAATATCATTCATGTACTACACCTCCATTGAAGTCTGTCCCTCAGGATTGCAGTATTTCAAATGTTGATACTCACTCCTTCATTTTTATTGAGAAAACAGTAACACTGACGTATTGCAGTAACATGAAGCCATATTCACTCATAGGATTGACATACACAAACAATTTTTGGATCTTATTTATTTCAAATTTAAGGATGTTTTTAATTGGATTGAACTTTTCTCGTTTGATCTTTCACTGTTAGTTTTGGCCTTTTCGGAATAGAGTGCATTTTCATTCGTGGAAGGGTTTTAATGTCTATGAAGTATTTCTTATTGATCGATCATAATGTAGAAAATTCATATGCTTATATTATCGGCAATTACTTGACTTTTCGTGTGTTGCTGCTTTGAGCGGTTCGTGCACCCTTCTTGTTTTCCTGACATTTTATATTTCAGATTCTATTTCTTAATTTTTTTTCTAGAAGGAAAAAAAGAATAAAAGAGAGAACCCCCCATAAGGCCATAACCAATATCAGCCCTCTGTAAGGTTCATGTGCTTGATGGAACTCCTGAGTTCTGTTTGGAAATTTCTTTGAGAATATTAAAATAATGCTTTTCTATGAGTCATTTAATCTCACATGCTTCCCTCAAATCTCACATACTCTACCCAGTGCAACATGGGAAACAACTTACAGTCCGGAGAAGTGTCTGTATAAAATGCTTTAGGATCCTTTTCAGCTCTCTCATTGAAGGTACTATACCATTCTGGCCTTCTGTGTTGTTAATATCAGATAGTATTCATCTGTTCTTTACCCTTGGATAGCATAAAGCTACTCAGGTTTGAAATCTCTTACTCTAGAGTACCCTTTACCTTTACTAGTGAATGTTAAGGCAACCCTTCACCATAAACTTCTTCAACCAAGTCTTAGACCAGTGATAAATGATCAACTTAAGTTGATTTATAAATCGGTTGTCTTCATTCCAGCCTGCCTTTACTTAGACAATGTCTTAGAAACTTCCAAGAGTTCAAGCATAAATGCATAAGTATCATATTGTTAGCTTGATTCTACTACAATGTTTTAGTTCTTTGTCCTCTATCAGAATCCAGAATGATGAGTTTAAGCTAATTAGTTAAACCAAAATATAAATGTAAACAATATACAAGTATAGTTCATGATTTATGATGGCACTACCTTTACCAAAAAGCATGCCTTTTTTTGGGTTGATGTATTTTTAAAACATTCATGGTATTGTGAGGTACTGAGGTGAACCATTATTTATGAAAGTTTTGAATTAAGTTGTACTGGTTAGGATGTATCGAATAACATATATTGCAAACCAAGATCCTAAAGTGGCATTGGTGTTTAAGCAGTTGGATACTTAGGATTTCCTTGTGTCTTCACAATCCAATTGTTTTTCCTTGGATGTTTATATAAAATATAAAAGAAGGGTAAAAAGCATTTTGACAAGCCCCCAATGGTTCAGTGTAATGGTTCTTGAAATCTCTCTCTGAATCCTTGGGCTTGTGCTTCTTGAAATTCTGATAATCAAAACCCCTCTAAACAAACTCCTAGCCATTTTCCCAAACAAGTGATGTGGCTATTGTTCACCTGTAAAAAGTGTAAAAAGTGATATGATGTGTTAAACAATACTACCATGATGTAAGACTTTTTGTAAGAATATATGTACCCCTAGCATAACTCTGAGGTGCATTTGTCTTGGCCTAACAACATAAACAAAAAATTATACATATTTTGATAATCAATATAATTCATGTACTACACCTCCATTGAAGTCTGTCCCTCAGGATTGCAGTATTTCAAATGTTGATACTCACTCCTTCATTTTTATTGAGGAAACAGTAACACTGACGTATTGCAGTAACATGAAGCCATATTCACTCATAGGATTGACATACACAAACAATTTTTGGATCTTATTTATTTCAAATTTAAGGATGTTTTTAATTCGATTAAACTTTTCTCGTTTGATCTTTCACTGTTAGTTTTGGCCTTTTCGGAATAGAGTGCATTTTCATTCGTGGAAGGGTTTTAATGTCTATGAAGTATTTTTATTGATCGATCATAATGTAGAAAATTGATATGCTTACATTATCGGCAATTACTTGACTTTTCGTGTGTTGCTGCTTTGAGCGGTTCGTGCACCCTTCTTGTTTTCCTGACATTTTATATTTCAGATTCTATTTCTTAATTTTTTTCTAGAAGGAAAAAAAAAGAATAAAAGAGAGAACCCCCCATAAGGCCATAACCAATATCAGCCCTCTGTAAGGTTCATGTGCTTGATGGAACTCCTGAGTTCTGTTTGGAAATTTCTTTGAGAATATTAAAATAATGCTTTTCTATGAGTCATTTAATCTCACATGCTTCCCTCAAATCTCACATACTCTACCCAGTGCAACATGGGAAACAACTTACAGTCCGGAGAAGTGTCTGTATAAAATGCTTTAGGATCCTTTTCAGCTCTCTCATTGAAGGTACTATACCATTCTGGCCTTCTGTGTTGTTAATATCAGATAGTATTCTTCTGTTCTTTACCCTTGGATGGCATAAAGCTACTCAGGTTTGAAATCTCTTACTGTAGAGTACCCTTTACCTTTACTAGTGATTGTTAAGGCAACCCTTCACCATAAACTTCTTCAACCAAGTCTTAGACCAGTGATAAATGATCAACTTAAGTTGATTTATAAATCGGTGGTCTTCATTCCAGCCTGCCTTTACTTCGACAATGTCTTAGAAACTTCCAAGAGTTCAAGCATAAATGCATAAGTATCATATTGTTAGCTTGATTCTACTACAATGTTTTAGTTCTTTGTCCTCAATCAGAATCCAGAATGATGAGTTTAAGCTAATTAGTTAAACCAAAATATAAATGTAAACAATATACAAGTATAGTTCATGATTTATGATGGCACTACCTTTACCAAAAAGCATTCCTTTTTTTGGGTTGATGTATTTTTAAAACATTCATGGTATTGTGAGGTACTGAGGTGAACCATTATTTATGAAAGTTTTGAATTAAGTTGTACTGGTTAGGATGTAACGAATAACATATATTGCAAACCAAGATCCTAAAGTGGCATTGGTGTTTAAGCAGTTGGATACTTGGATTTCCTTGTGTCTTCACAATCCAATTGTTATTCCTTGGATGTTTATATAAAATATAAAAGAAGGGTAAAAAGCATTTTGACAAGCCCCCAATGGTTCAGTGTAATGGTTCTTGAAATCTCCCTCTGAATCCTTGGGCTTGTGCTTCTTGAAATTCTGATAATCAAACCCCCTCTAAACAAACTCCTAGCCATTTTCCCAAACAAGTGATGTGGCTATTGTTCACCTGTAAAAAGTGTAAAAAGTGATATGATGTGTTAAACACTACTACCATGATGTAAGACTTTTTGTAAGAATATATGTACCACTAGCAAAACTCTGAGGTGCATTTGTCTTGGCCTAACAACATAAACAAAAAATTATACATATTTGATAATCAATATCATTCATGTACTACATCTCCATTGAAATCTTCCCCTAAGGATTGCAGTATTTCAAATGTTGATACTCACTCCTTCATTTTTATTGAGAAAACAGTAACATTGACGTATTGCAGTAACATGAAGCCATATTCGCTCATAGGATTGACATACACAAACAATTTTTGGATCTTATTTATTTCAAATTTAAGGATGTTTTAAATTGGATTGAACTTTTCTCGTTTGATCTGGCTGTTTAAGTCTAGTCTATGTCAGGTATAATTGTATTTTACAATTGTTGAAGTCTGGTTTGTTTAAGGGTAAGTCTTCATGTTAATTTCACTTTTAACTTAATAACAAAAGTAGAGTTAACAATTTTTTGGATAAATGTCAGCTCATAAACACTTTTTGTCTTATATTGTTGCTTAGTAGCACTCCACTCTCATTTTATCAAAAAACATATTGAGCTTTTGTATATTGACAAGTATACTCCTACTTCTACCCCACACTCCCACCTTGCCTCAACAACCTCCTACCCCATTTCTCCCACCCTAACCACTTCTACTCTACCTCCACCTCCAACTGCTCCTACCCTATCCGGCTATCCCAATTGAAACTTCAATAGATAAATGTTCACATTAAAACACACGATTCATTTAGTTTCACTTTTCTAAAAGAACTATTGCATAAGCAATAACTTTTAACTTATTCAAACAATACAATATTCTCAAATAATATTAATTAAAAATATATTATTATTATGAGAATCAATAATACTATTAAAAAGACTTCTCTCGTGAATTACCAGAACTCATGTTAATTAAAATATCATAATTCAAGAAATTGATTCCTTATTCTAATATGAGTCATGCAGTTACGAGAGGCAAATGCGATTCAAAAATATATAGGTGGATGTGTAATTTTTGGGATGTCTATACTTACTATTCAATCTCAGACCAGAATAGAAAAAATCATCATCGCAAAAAAAAAAAGAATAGAAAAAATCATGAAAAAATGACCTCTATATATTATTGTTAGACTTTTGAATTCCAAAAGTATTGCTCTTTTCCTTTTTCCCAAAAACGTGACCTTGATTAATTATTGATTGTTACGGGAATTTAATGCAGAGGTCAACAAGAGCTGCCCAAACCTCCGCACCTATCATTTGCATCTACCTTAACGGACAACAGGAGGTGTGCCACCGCCGATAATGCCTTGCTAGTTGCTACCATGCACCACCTCTAAATTAAACAATTCCACAAAGTGAAATATCCCTAATTAATTTCCTTTCCCCCTTCATTGCCACAACTTCGTTAGCCTTCAACCGCTCTCCATCTTGCCGGCCAATTGCTCTCACTCCAACATCGGTGGCTCAGGTCAACAACAAACGCCGTCGCCCACTCGTCCGTCACCTACCCCCTCATCGTAATCGTTCGATGTCATCTTCAAGCCTTCTTCTTCCTCTTCTTCTCCTTTCTTTCTCGCAAACCATAGCTATTGAAGATCTGAAGCATCTCACCGACACACGACACATCTCATCCTCTTCGATTGTTGATGTCATGTTTGGTTTTTACTATTATTTCAACCATCACCGTCATCGTTAGATTTGTCTATCGATAGAGGTTACAAGTTGGCAACGATTACATATCGATGCTAGAGGTAGAGGATATGTGGTATGTGTGCGTGGGGGAGCGCAAGGGAATCTGGGCTACAGATCGGGGGGATTGGCAGTGGCGGACTAGGGGAGGGGTAAGGCATGGATGGGGGTCGGGTTGTCGGAGGGTGGGAGCGGCAATTAGTGGGGCAGTTGTTGCGGCGGACTTGGTGTAGGCGATGCGGCAGAGCTAGGGCTTTGGGGTAGTAGTCGGGAATGGGATAGTGACTGGAACATGTGGCGGGAGAGAGGTTGGTGGTCACTGGCCGAGACGGTGGCGATGGCGGTAGTCACTAAGTGGTTGGCATTTACTAAATAGGTTACTGCATGGCATTCACTATAAGAGTAATAGGGGAAGGGGTGGAGTCATTGGGCAAGTTACCAGCGGTGGTCACTAGATGGGTTTCTGGTTGGCTGATAAACCGCTTTTTCGCGGCGTTGTAGTAAAACGGAGTTTAACTTTTCGGTTTCCCCCCGAGTATCGTATCTCTGAGGAATGACAAAGGACTTTTCTTAATTTAATCTTAGTCACGGGCTATCACAAATTGTTGGAGCTTTTTCTTTTTTTTTTGGATAAATTGTTGGAGCTTTTTCTATATATATAGAAAGGTGATTGTGTTCTAAAATATGCCAATTTGCAAAATTACAACTAGAAGCAAAATTCAATTTAAAAGATTAATGATTAAAGATCGATTCAGGCCTGGTCCTTCATCTGATCTGCATGTATGGTCTTGCTTCGTCCATAATGCATAGTATTTGCATGATACATACTTAGCAGAATATTTGGCTTGATTTGTGGGGATTTCACTCGAGGCCGGCGAGTGCACGTTCCTTCGACTGTCCCTCTTTTGATTTGTGGGGAGTTCACCCGAGGCCGACGAGTGCACGGTCCTCGGCTTCCCTCTTTTGATTTGTGGGGATTTCGCTCGAGGCCGACGAGTGCACGGTCCTTCGACTGTCCCTCTTTTGATTTGTGAGGATTTCGCTCGAGGCTGGCGAGTGCACGGTCCTCGACTTCCCTCTTTTGACTTCCTCTTACTTCTTTGAGCGAGGAGTGTGGGATCCTTCTTTCAGGCTCGGTTGACGGGGTTGCTATTTCCTCGTCTGATAGGGAGTCCAGGAGGGAAGTTGTTAGCCCTCTGGTGGTGGATCGTCCCTTAATCTTGGGGGGTCCCGTCATCTATTTACGGTGCGGGCTAGGCTTTTGGTCGGTTACCGACGACTGCCGTTTCCCAACCCCAAGTGTGGGGATTTTATCACCTCAGCCATATCTTTCAGGCCTTTCTCCCTGTGATTTAGCGCGAGGATGACGCGGTGAGCTTCCCGTTTCAAGACGCAGGCCATTTTGCGGGCCCCTCGTCCTGGGACATCGTCGGCCATACCTGAGCGTTTCGCTCTAAGGAGTCGATATGATATGCTGTGTTGTGTGGCATCCTTTACTTAAATTTACAAAAAATAAGCGGAACAGAACTTGCTATTGATATAAGTGGCTCATGGCCGAGGGTGGTAATCTATCAACAACCCGTTCAGGCGTTAGCTTCTTTTTCGAGCTTTTTACCGAGGGGTGGGGGGCTCTGCCGGCGCACTTCCTTCGGATTATTGATAGAACTTCACCAGATGGTGTGGATGTGATACTTCTTTGGCTGGGGCTCCTCGAAGTCGTCGTCATCGCTCAGCCTACCGATCTCACGCTTCTTCGTCGAGGATTCCCCCTTTATTGCCAGTGCTCACCCACATGTTTTTTCGTGGGGCACCTTTAACAAATTGGGAGAGTTCCCCCGACGAATCAAGCGTTCGATGGCTCGCTTTAGCGTGACGCAATCGTCGGTGTTGTGGGAGGTGTTCTTGTGGTAGCGGTAGTAGGTGCCGCCCAGGTGGACGGCGTATATTTCCTTGGTCGGGTGGGGATCTCTGAGGATGAGATCCTACTCCTCCGCATAGTCGAGGATGGTACTCACCGAGTGTGTGAGTGGAGTCCTCGGTACGTCTGTCCTCGGTTGCCATGGTTTCTTGCCCCGTCTTTGGCCACTGGGACCAGAGTGTGCATGCTTTCTCTGGTCGGGGCCGGTGATCCATGTCAAGTGGTTATCCAATGTGGTGCTTGCGCCAAAACAATCAACTTGGAGGATGTGCGTGGATTACTCGGATCTGAATAAAGCCTGTCCAATGGACCCATATCCGGTGTCGAGGATCGATCTGTTAGTGGATGAGACAACCGGGTGTGATTTGTTGAGTTTCATGGACGCATTCCGGGGATATCATCAGATTTTCATGCACCCAGATGATGCAGAAAAAACAGCGTTCGTTACTTCGGATGGTGTGTTCTGCTATATTGTCATGCCATTCGGATTAAAAAACGCGATGGCTACTTTTCAAATGATGATTGGGATGTTGTTCAATGAAGTATTGGGAGTCACAATGGAGGCTTACGTTGATGACATCCTGATCAAGAGCCGGAAGAAGGAAAATCATGTCCTGGACATAGAAAAGGTGTTCGTGATAATGCAAAAGGCAAACATGAGGCTGAATCTCAAAGGTAAAAGCGAGAAGGGTATTGAGCCTAATCCTGAAAAGGTAAAAGCGATCATGGATATGGAAGCTCCTAGGAACCTCAAAGAGGTGCAGAGATTGACCGGTCGGTTGACAGTCTTAGGTACAGGAGTTTCCAGCTCATATCCAACGGTTTGCCCATCGGGAAACCTTAGCAACCCCAGCAATCATGGTGCTCCAGGTCGAGGCCATATCTTATGCTATTCCTAATTGGGTCATAGATATGACCAACTACCTGAAAGACGAAACCCTCCCACAGGATAAAAATCCCGCTTATCAGATAAAGAGCATTCAGAGGAGGGCCTCCATGTTCGAGCTAGTGGATGGGCAGTTGTACAAGAAGACATTTGGGGGACCTTATCTAAAATGCCTTCCTCCCGGTCTAGCAGCTGTAGTAATGGAAGAAATTCATGAAGGCATCTGCTCAAGCCATCAAGGACCCAGGACATTGGCCAGAAAAATCATCCTGCAAGGGTACTATTGGCCGACCATCCAACAAGACTGTTTTACGCATACTAGGAAATGTAAAGTTTGCCAGCTATATGCACCGGTCCCCGGGCGGCCAACCACTTTCTACACTCCGATGACTGTTGCTCTTCCTTTTGTTAGATGGGGGATTGACCTGCTAGGGCCCCTACCTACTGCCCCCCGGGAACCATAAGTACATCATTGTCGGGATAGATTATTTCACCAAATGGGTGGAGGCCAAACCACTGGCTAGCATCACAGACGTCAAATGCCAAAAGTTTGTCTGGAAGAATATCATTTGCCGTTTCGACCTCCCCGAACAGATCATAACAGATAATGGAAGGCAGTTCGTAAGCCGGAGTTTTGAGAACTACCTCATTAAGTGGGGGATCAAGCATTCCAGAGCATCCGTGGCATACCCCCAGGCGAATGGCCAAGTAGAAAATATGAACCGTACCATCATGGACGGCATGAAGAAGAAACTGGAAGAATACTCCTCATCATGGCCGGATCAATGAATTACATCTTATGGACATATAGGACAACACCCCGAACGACCACGGGAGAAACTCCATGTGCCCTCGCCTACGGCTTCCAGGCCAAAATACCAACAAAGGTCCTAGTTCCCACACCCCGAACGGTGCATTACAATCCAGAGCGGAATGAGGACAACCTACGGACTGAATTACAATTCATAGAAGAAAGAAGAGATCTAGCGGCTACACGTATGGAGGAATATCACAGAGCTACGAGAAGATACTTTGACAAGCAAGTCAAAGTTCGTTCAATCAAAGTAGGGGACCTGGTCTTAAAGAAACGAGAAAAAAGCAAACCTCTCGAAGGTGAAAAAATTGCACAAAATTGGGAAGGCCCGTATCAGGTCTGCAAAAAGTATGCCTCGGGAACGTTTGACCTACAATGTACCGAAGGTCGACCGGCAGGAACATGGAATGTGGAACATTTGAGAAAGTTTTATCAATAAAAATGGCTGTTGCCACCTCTGAAAAAAAAATTGTATATAAAGAGAGGGAGACATAACTTCCAGAGAGTCTCATCTCAGCTTTTAACATGTGAAATCATTCCGAATGACTGAATGACGAACAGGTTAACAGTTTGGAGGGAGCCATCATCTCAACTAACAGAATTTGACCCTGTGATCATAAGAGGGATCAAAACAGCTTAGAGTTCGATGCTCAGAGAGCCTCATCTCAGCGGTTAACATGGAAATCGTTTCGGACGACCGAACGAGGAACATGTTAGCAGTTTGGAGGGAGCCATTATCTCAGCTAACAGAATTTGACCTTGTAATTACGAATTGATAAAGGGATCAAAACGGCTTGGAGTTTGATGTTAGAGAATCTCACCTCAGCTGTTAACACGTACAATTATTTCGGATGGCCGAATGACGAACGGGTTAAGAGCTGGGGAGGGAGCCATCATCTCAATTAACAGAATTTGACCCTGTATTTACGACTGGACAAAGGGATCAAAACGGCTTGGAGATGGTGTCAAAACCATAAGTATGGACAAACCGAGCGACGTTCGGTAACATGGATTGTCATCCGTGGAATCGGAACTATGGTTTTGAAAAATCTCGCCTCAGTCATTAACTTGATTTGGAAGTGAGTCGCCATTTTAGCTATAAGTAAGGAATGACCCGATCCGGTGATCTTGCTTATAGTTTGAAAATGGTCACCTCAAACCCCTAATATGGATGATACGAGTCAGAAAAAACTGTTCGGAATGCATCGGAATTATGGGTTTGGAAGAGAAAAAGTCTCATCTCAGCTTTTAATATGTGAAATCATTCCGGATGACCGAATGACGAACGTCTTAACAATTTGGAGGGAGCCATTATTTCAGCTAATAGAATTTGACCCTGTCCTTACGAACGAACAGAGGGATCAAAACGGCTTGGAAATAGTGTCAGAAATATAGATATAAACGAGCCGAGTGATGTTCGGTAACATGGACTGTTAAACGGGGAATCCTAACTATGAACTTGGAGAAAGGACAGGAATCAAAAAACAGAAAAGCAATGCATCAACACGGTTAAAGAAAAGTATCCAGTTTATTCTTCGGCACTACTGTCCGGAAGATACAAAATAAAAAGAAAATGCAAAGACCTATACTACTGGATGATCGCCGTTCGGGGAAGATAGGGGTTGAGAGCTCCCATCCTACGCCGCATCATCAGGCACTGCTTCCTTCCTCATCTCCACATCCCGGTCGTAGGTATTCCCAAACAGATCGTCAAAACCCAGTTCGTCAGGATCGAATGGCTTGGGGAAATACTTTAACATCAGATCAAGGTTTCTGTCTAGAAGCAGATCCTGACTTTGCTTCACAGTCTTCTCAGACAGAACATCCAAGAAAGACGTCCCTTCAGGCGTGCTATCCAGAAGATCGATCCCTGCCCTAATGGGATCTTCGCTCTCACGCAAGAATTGACCAAGATGAGGTCCCAAAAATTGCCGAGCGGTATTTTCCAGAGCGATGTTCAGCCCTTTTCCCCGTTGATACTCAATTACGGCTTGTTGACTGATCTTCGAGGTATTGGCAGTATATGGCTCAGGAGGATTTTCCGCTTCGGGCTTATCAAATTTTACCCCAGGAGATTCAGCCGCCCGCACCTTGGCTCTTTAATTTCCCGATCACGACGTCGGGTCCTTTCTTCCATCGCAGCCAGAGCAGCTTTCGCCTTCTCACCCTCAGTGACGCGATCTTGCAAATCTGCGGCCAGCTTCCGAGCGGCGGAAAGAAGAACCTGGCCATCTTCCCGATCACTGGTCAGGAGCTTCATCTCCTGTTCGGCCGCCAGAAAAGCCCGATGATAGTATACGCCGGCCTGCAAACAAGTGGCAAACAAAGTCAGACGAGATGAAAAAATTAAAAATAGAGAAGCATGAATCAAAACGAAATGTACCTTGAGTGCCTCTTGGTGAACTGCCTCGATCAGGTCAGACCAATGAGTCAAATTGGAGAAGCTGGGGGGAACCTTCAGAGCGGTACTGCACCACATAGAAGAGGGCATTTGCCCGAACAGATATCGTCTCTCTGCTCGAGGCCCCATGTTTGAAAACTCAATAAACATCCGATCATTGACCGACATGTCAGCAAGAACTGGGGTTTTGGGTTTGGGAGGAAGGACATATCTTTTTGGTTCAACCTCCGGGCCGGTCAGATCCACCACGTGATCGACCGGGATGAGTTGGCCACCATCATTACCCCGACGCTTCTTCCGGGCCTGATCGGCATCATTCAAAGCCCAGACCGTTATTTTCTCCTTGCCTTTCACCATGGAAGTCGGCGAAGTAGAGGTAGGGGTAGATCGCCGAACGGCGGTAGAAGGAATCACACCTGCGAAAAAGGAAATAAAGTCATAATAGTTTAAAATTGAGAACGAACGGGTTGAGACAAAACCAATCTTACCAATCCCAGCGGTTAGCAAATTGGAAGGAGTAATGAAAGAACGAAGATTCCGTGAACCTCCCAAACACAGAGATTTAGATTGCAAAAGCAGAATTTCATCAGGTCTAGTTTCAGAATCCCGAACTGGATACGCATTCCACCGGTCGGGGAATGGAAGTGGTGTACCTACACGAACAAAGAGGAACCTCTCCTCCCAGTCAGCCGGCGGTGTAGGGTTTTCCGTAAACACCTGACGATCAGATCGGGCTACCAACTTGAGATACCCTGTGGTCCAGTAGGACTGATAGCAGTAGTGGTGCAGGAACAAGTCTACACTAGGAGCGATGCCCAACTCATGGCATCGGAGGAAGTGCAGAGGAATGCAGGGTGGCTGTTCGGGCATTCCCTTGTTATAAGTAGCCACATCATCGCCCGATAGACACCCATCATCTGGGACAGGCTGTTCGGGCAGATTGGTTTTAAGATTGGCGGTATCAGGTACTTGGGATGATGAACCCCCAAATTTGTCAACAGATAAACCCTTCCCTCTAGGACGACAAATGAGCGGCATATCTTCTTCTTCTGAAGAACCGGAGGAAAAGAACATATAAAACAGGAAGTTTGAGAGTTCTAGAGAGAGAAAGCTTAGAGGAAGGCGAGAGAGAATTGGAGAAACAACAGAAAAAATGAGAGGTAAGCACCTCTCTATTTATAGGGAAAGCGCCGCCCAAAACCCTAATCCATAAACAACACGTGGCGTTGTGTGGTTGTAAGTAATCATGGCGTATTTATGGCTAAATATTAAGCACGTATCCCGAACGGGATATGGTTGCGAGTAATATGGTTAACCGAGCAAAGCGAATGAACGTCGAACAGGGATGTATGTTTTGAGGCTCTGAAAGTGATGTCGAATCCATAGAAACAGAATCCGAGCAGTACCCGAAAATGAGGATGAACTCTTTTAATAGACCGAACGGGTAATTATGGGTGTTCGTATATTAAAAAAAACAACAAAGAAGAAAAATGATGGATGAAAACGACCAAGTACAACAAAATATACTGCATCTCGAATGTGAAATACACAAGAAAGACGAATCCCGCCAGGTGGACCGAATTCTGAACAATGTAAAGCAGGGGTTAACATGGAGAAGCAGACAAAGAGTGAACAAAACAGTATGTCAACAACTAAGTGCTACAAAATCGGCCATATCTCGAACGATTACACAGGGAGGCAGCAAAAGGCATGGAAAACAGTTAAGTACTACGAAACTGGCCGAATATCGAACGGCTCAACGCAGATATACAAACTATAGAAAAACAAGAAAAAACAGATGCCTTATGAAGTGAACCGAATTCTGAATGAGTATGCGCCGAATTTAATATAAAGAAACAGAGAATTAGATAAAGCATTGGGCAAAAAGATTGTATTCATCAGCTCTACCGGCCGGAAAGTACAAACTACGAGAAGAAAGGGAAATTACAATCATCAAAAGATTCTAAATTCTACACTAATGTCCAGAGGCCTTTTCTTCTTCATCATCATCTTCATCATCGTCTTCATCAGAGGGAGGTTCAGGCTCCCTCCCTGCAGCGCGATCAGCCTCCCTCTGGAGATCCCGCTCGTACTTCTCAAATTGAGCTTGAATTATCTCGGCCCGGGGAAGATCGGCAGCCTGAACTGGTCTCCCAATTTGATTCTGAAGCTGATCCACGAAGGGGCGTAGAAGGACTTGGCCAATCTTGGCGTAGAAATCTGAGACAATGGAATCATTCCACTTCTTACTCTCGGGATCCTTATCAAGGAGATCCACTCCTGCTTTAAGCCGTTTGGCTCCTTTGGGAAAAGTCTTCCAAAAAGCACCAAAAGCAGCCGGGACTTGCTGCCTGGCATAGTCTTCCTTAATGAGGGAGAATTCATCTGAAGATTTAAATGCTTCCCGAACGGCGGACAAATCCACACTCACCTCATATGGGCCGTCCGGGATGCTAGAGGGCATCTCCTCTAACTTGACCTGGGCGGACTCAGCAGCAAACACCTTGGCCTGGGAAGCAGCCAGTTGAACTCGGAGGGTGCCGAGCTCAGTTACCAGCCTTTGCTTTTCCTCCGCAAAGGCTTTCCGTTCGGCCTCCAATATTGTAAGAGTAGCAGCAGCTTTTTGCTCAGCGGAGGTCTGGGCAACAATCAAACCCCGTTCCTTGGCCAGACGAGCATCTCTCATTTGCAAGGTGTACAATCCCACCTACAGAGCGCCGTTCGGGAAATAATGAATGAAATAATATGTAAGGAAGAATAAAATAAGAAACAAAGCATAAGGAAAAATAAGATACCTTCAGAGCAGCCAGGGCCAAGCACTCTTCAGATTGCTCGACCGGCAGTTGGGGAATTGCAAAGTTATTAAACCATGAGGATGTTGACCAGATTTTGCTCGCAGAGGAACCAGCTTTCTCCAACACCTCATGAACAGGATCTGATAGAGAGATCCGTTCGACCTGGCCAGTGAGATTATCAGTGTGAGTTTTGCCCATACTTGTGGTGGCACCCTGGTCAGCCTGAAAATGCTCAGTGAGTTGATGAAGTTGGTCAGATCTGAACCGATCGCCAATCATCATGTCTTCATACTGGTCATGATGGGGGACCTGTTGTATGGGTTGTGGCTCCTGAACGGCCTGAGAAGGCTCAGGGTTTTGAGCAGCAGTAGTAGAGGGTTGGGGCTTGGGATTTTTCTTCGACTTCTTCCTTTTCCCAACCCCACCGGCAACAAGGACGCGGCTGTTATCCATGGTAGCGTCTGGATTGGGAGCTAAAAAATAACAAAGGAAAATGTTAGTATCGAGCGGCCTTATCACGTGGGAAACAAAGAAGAAGAGAACGTTGCTCGCACGAGAAGGACCGCCCGGACCATGGCACTTGATTCTCAAAACAAGTAAACCTAAGAGAACGGGCAATACCTATCCCGGCTTCGACAAGCCGATCGGGAGTCAAGTAACTCATGATATCACAACATCTGTCTTTCTCCACAGCGAACACATCCTTGTAAATTTCCTCAGTAAGGACTGGATCGGGAGATTTGCGAGGGAAGGCATTCCATTTGTGAGGGATCAGGCCGTCCGGGACAGACACAAAGAAGAACCGATCTTTCCACCCCTTGATTGAAGTCGGATTGCCCTTAAACAGGATATGTCCCGTTCGGGCACTAGTGGCCAGATATCCATGTGTTTGTTGGGGGGCCACTTTAAAAAATTGATGAAATAAGTCTAGGGTCGGCGAGGCACCGACATCTTTACAACGGCAAATAAAGCCCGCCATTGCCCGATAGGAGTTCGGCATGACTTGGGCCGGTACAATTTCGTAGAAATTGAAAAATGAAACGAAAAAGGAATGCAATGGAAACCTAAGCCCAGGCCTAACTGAATCGAAGTGGACTACAACCATCCCAGGGGTATGGCGCATTGGGTGAAGCCCAGCTCGCAATCGGAAGTCCACTGGGTCTAGGATTAGGGCCGAGATTTCGGCCCTGTTGTGAGAAGTCAGTTTTTGCCGCCTCTCCCTAATCAGTCTTAGGTCAAGCGTGTGACGAGGGAAATCGCTTGGACGTCCGGCCGCCATGGAAGCCAGTTCATCATCAGACTTGGTGTCGTTGGAATCTTCACCGGAGGAAGAAGAACTGCCGGAGGGATCCTCCGTCTCTGCCGGTCTCTGCCGTCGCCGCATTGGAGCCGTCAACAAAAGGGACGGTGATAACCTCCACATCATGGTCTTCCCCTTGGGAAGCCATTTCCGAATCGAAACGTAGTTGAGAACTCATACCGATCGGATCAAAGAAAAGAGAGAATTAAAGGGATGAGAAGTACCTGGACACGAAAGGCTTGAAGGGGTTGAGAGAAAAGGCAGAGCTAAGGCACGAAGAGATTGAAAATTCGAAACCCGGATTCGTGGAGCTAAAGGCTAATTTATAGCCTTACAAGCGCCGTATCGAAGACTAATCAAATAGAGACATGTCACTTGAACCATTTGAAATAACACGTGTCGCATGGAAGAGCAAAGACCAACAATCATGATGAATATGGGAAAACTCAAACGACAGCCGTCAAATCACAGTATGGGGAACTGACCATTTCTGTATCCCGATCGCCATTCGGCATTTATATTATGGCACTTATACTTCCTAATGTACTCATTGTCATTCAAGACATCGGAAGTGGGGGACTCGTGTTGGGATATTGGCCCGGAAGCCCAATACCCGGATTAAAGGTCCAGGATATCCAGCCCAAACAACGAGCCCACTACCCTATGATAAGTAGGCCCAATGAGATATTCATACCGAACGGGGTTCGGGTCATACATCATACTTGGGCCAAATCAACAATGTTTTACACAGGGCCCATTATCCCGTTCGGGCAATGGACAACCAGAGGTGGCCAGGCACAATCAATGCCGAATTGTGACATCAGCAAGTGGAGGCATGAGTGATCAAGTCGGTGGAACGTCAGCCAATCAGCATAAAGCGTCCCATACTCTCCATTAGTATAAATAGAAGGTTTAATATCATTGTAAGGGTTAGCATTTTAATACTCAAGCCCTAGAATAGCCTTATTACTCTTGTTTCTTGTATTAAGCACAAATCCGGCGTGTCGTTCGGGAAATTTCTTTGTAATCAAACAGGTTAATTAATAGAAGTGGGTTTTTGAGCATTCGATTATCCATCTTTTATATTTCTTTTACGTACTTGATTCTCGACCAATTCCTAATATATCCAAAGTTCGTGTTGGGCTTTCGGATCTGCGGGATCAAACCTCAACACGTACGTACGTGCTCGCCTTGCAAACTTTATTTGATCCGGTCGTGTCCAACGTAACATATGTTTTGCAAGAGAGACACTCTTCATCAATGTAAGCCACATATTTATACAAACGATATATGTTTATATATATATATATATATATACACACACACATACACACACACATATATATACACACACATATATATATATACATATATATATATATATACACACACACACATATATATATATATATATATGTCTATATATATATATATATATATATATATATATATATATATATATATATATAGACAGAGAGAAACTTTAAGGTCCAACACGTTTCGGTCCGAACGCCGTCCGAACATCAACGTTTAGGGCGGTTTCCGCTGGAATTCTTTTATGAAAGTTTTTAAACATGTTTCTCATCAAGTCTAGTTTATCCATACCAAATTTGAGCTTAACATTCGATCTGGAAGGAAGTCAAATAATTTGTTGAAGTTAACTACGTTTTTCTATGTATAATTTGGCGCAGTTAACTTCAACCAATTATTTGACTGCCTTACCGATCGAATTTTCAGCTTAAATTTGGTCCGGTTCTTTCTCTCAGCCACTCCATTGTGTTGTGGAGTGTAGTGAAATGTGGTAATATGCTGCACTCCATGTTCACTGCAGTAGTCTTCAAACACATTAGAGGTGTACTCCCCACCTCCGTCACTGTGTATCATCTTAATTGATTGCCCACATTGCTTTTCAACAACCGCTTTGAATTTTTTAAAGCAGCTAAAAACCTCAGACTTGGCTCTCAGAATATACACCCATGTTTTCCTTGTAAAATCATCAATAAATGTGAGAAAGTACCTGTTATCACCCAATGGCGCAATGTTCATAGGTCCACACACGTCTGTATGGACGATCTCTAGATGGTGTTGTGCACGCCATGGTTCTCCTTGAAATGGCAGCCTGTGACTTTTTCCTAGTACACATGCTTCACACAAACTGGTATGGATGTTTAATATAAGGTAACCCCTTTACCATATTATGTTTGGCTAAGTTTTCGAGACTCCGAAAATTTAGGTGACCAAACCGTAAGTGCCAGAGCCACGAATCACAACTAGTAACAACACTTAAACACTTATATTCTCCTTTAGTTATATCAACTGGAAACATGCGATTTTTTGATAAAAAGGTTTTAAGAATCAATGTACCTTTTTTTTTAATCAAAAATACATAATTGCTTCCCAGAAACATTCATCACATATCCCTTTTTGGCTAGTTGTCCCATACTCAATAAATTACTCTACATATCTAGCACATAAAAAACATTATTGATGTACCTGTGATCACCATTCTTCAATGTGATGAGAATTTGTCCTTTTCCAGTTACTGGGATAGTTCTGTCATCTCCGAACCTCACACTCGTTCGGAATGATTCATCTAGCTCTACGAACAGTTCCTTCCTTCCAATCATGTGATTCGTGCATCCAGTGTCCAGGAACCAAGTATGATGATTTGGGGTCTCATTTGATGCCGTAACCATCATAATTGCGTGATCTGTCACAGTTGCATCATCAACTGCATCGCTGCTACTATCCTCCTTTGCATAATTGGCAGCTTGATTGTCACCTCTAGATCTACATTCACTTGCATAATGTCCACGTTTGTGACAATTGTAGCACTCCACATTTGACTTGTCATGTCTTCCACCTTGTCCACAGCCTCGTCCTCTGGAGTTGGCAAATGAGTGTTGATAGGTAGGGTTATTTTGCTCTACGAGGGCTCCATAATTTTGGCCACTGCGACCCTTATTGGACTGATAACCACCTCTTCATCTTCCTCTACCTTTTCCTCTTCCTCTTGAAAGAGATATGCCCTAGAACTATTCATATGTGTATGACTTATAGTTGGATATCTTATGCTTATTAATAAGGTTTATTTTATTTCACCTTATATTCTTAAATATAGTATATTATTATTACTAGTTCACCAAGTATGTGACTTGGTTGTGGAATACTAGTCGTTTCGTAAAATATACCATGTCCCTAATCATATCTCTATAATCTAGAATTATGTAGACATATTGATTAGTGTGTGGGTTAGCTGATGACTATGTTCCACAAGTCATGAATATGGTGATATCAAGCTGAACACACTAATACTTGTTGGTGAACAAATATTGGACCGACCCGTTTTGGGAACGATGCAAGGAAATGTTATAAATGTCATCAGTGATGTTCCCTTTAGTGAAATCATATTGTCCTCGGACCTGAGATCGCCATGGTTACCAATATAGGGATTAATACATTAGACATTATCAAACGTTACTCCTAAATGAGTAACTATAAAGATAATGATCAAATGTATTATGAAATATATAGAGGTATGTGGTTGGTTGGTTAAGATGGGATTTGTCACTTTCATATATTGAGAGAAGATATCTTTGGGTCCCTTGATAAGTATATTTAATTATAGCATGGCCATGCACAAATGAGGTGTCATTTGTATCAAATATACTTGGAAATCAAGATACAATGATTGAACTATACAAGAATGACACTCGCCTAGTCTTGTGTTCAATCCAGATATCGTTTGACAAAAGGAATATATATGTGACATAATATATATATAAGTTGTGTCGTTTTGAATTTTATATCCTTTGGATAATAATAATGTCTTACTAGAGACCGCTTTTTATTTGTATAATTAAAAGAGTATTTAATTATACTACCAAAGGAATATAAACCTATAGGGTCGCACACTAAAACGTTTTGGATCAAAATCGGATAGTGTTTGGGTCCGAATGACTTCAAGCCCATATCCGTTTGTTGCTAGGGTTTTCTATATTATGTTCTCTATAAAAGGAGGAGTCTAAGAGCTTAAGAGGGCTGGCCGTTCTCACACATACATGAGACAAAACATAATTTGAGAAAACCCTTTTTGGATGCTAGTACATTGAGCAAGTCTGATCCGATCGTGTGTGCACACCGTAGCGGCGTGGTACTTTCTACGCTAGAAGGACATAAACAAGTGCTAAGACCTAGGTTTTCATTGATCCATCAAAAGGTATGGTTTCATACGAACTTATAATGATTTGTGTCTTGATTTGTTGCAAACTATATTGCTTATTAGCAATTGAAGTTCATGGAATAGTATAGATCTTTTTGTAAATGTTTTTGCTTCGTATCAAGCATGAGATGCATGTTCGTAGCTCGTTTCCTAATAGTGGTATCAAAGCCTTGGCTTACTATTCCATGGTTTTCAATTGGCATATTAGTATTTTCGAAAAAATCATGCAATACATCAAGTTTTGATCGAACTTTTGTATCATGTTTGTTGCGTTTCACAAACTGTCCATATTTCTTGAATATGACTTTCTTGATATCTGATTATGGACTAGAACGAATTGCAACATCAATGTTTTTTATTTTTAAGTATGATTATTAGGAAAGTTCGTATTATATGCTAAAGTAATTGAATGTTCACAATTACCTTAATTAGCATATACGAATTTCCTATAATATTTTCAATCATATTCGATTTGATTAGATCAAATCTACTGGAATTGGTTGATTTGATTTTATGTCCGTTTTGTTGCATATATGATCGTGTTTTTAAGCATCTTTATTAAGAATGTTCGTATTATATGCTAAAGTAATTGAATGTTCACATTTATCTTAATTAGCATATACGAATTTCCTATAATACTTTCAATCATATTCGATTTGATTAGATCAAATCTATTGGAATTGTTTGATTTGATTTTATGTCCGATTTGTAACAAATATGATCTTGCTTTTAAGCATTTGTATTAGGAAAGTTCATATTATATGCTAGTGTAATTGAAAGTCCACGATTACGTTAATTAGCATATATGAATTTCCTATAAGATTTTCAATCTTATTAGATTTGATGAGATCAAATCTATTGGGATTTTTTGCTTTAATTTATTCCACATTTTGTAAGGTGTATGATCTTGTCATTAACGTATCATTTTAGGAAAAATTCGTACTAAATGCTAGTGTAATTGAAATTTCACAATTACTATGATTAGCATATACGATTTTCCCATAAGTTTTTTTTAATCATATTAGACTTGATGAGATCAAGACTAATGAGATAGTTTGTGTTAATATGATTAAGGAAAATGATACAATCTGATTTTGAGAAATTTATTATATTAAGAAGTTTCCCATTGTATGCTATTATGATAAAAATTCCGCAATTACCATATTTAGCATATGCGAATTATCTTGTTAGATTTTTCATATCATAATAGATCCAATAGAATTATGTCTAATGAGATTAGACATAATAACTAATAATTCATAGATTAAACTCTACTTATGGACTTTTACATGTATGTGATACTTCATGCTATGAGATAACACTAACCTGCAGGATTATGGTTATAAGTGATATAGTATGGCCATATTTTTGTTTTGTTTTGTACGACCTGCGTGTCGTTTAAATTATTGTACGTTTTTCATTATTAGGATTTTGTATTAGGATGTAAAATGTAAATATTGTAAATTATACATCAAAAGATGGAAGAGTGCCCATCAAGGAGAAGCATGGTGAGCATGCTGGAGTGTCCAGAGCTGCCAAGGATGGAGTGCCAGAAGCTAACAATAACTTGATATATTGGTCATACTATATCACATGCATTTTACCCATATTTATTGCTTTGTGATTGTTTAAATACCTTATTGCATTGCATAGTTATGTCCCTATAAAAATGAATCATTTGTGCCTTTCCAACATTGACAACTATTACATATTATGAAAATTATAGAAGAAGTTTGCCAAAGCAGAGTCATCTAAAATTATCATAATAGTAAGAATGTCGGACATTCATTGGTCATAAAATGTTGGTGTTATCTCACAAAGTCATCAAAACGGTTTTGGACTTTGAGGCAAAGTGTTGAGTAGCTCAAACATAAAATATAAAACTCAACAAACCAAGAATTGCATAGGATGTAATAATTAGCAATTGTTGCTTACCCAATTAACAAAGTTTTGAGTGAAAAGCCAAACCTTTCTCAAAGTTTTGCTAAAAGGGATCTTGGTCCTACTATGTCCCATGGGGACGTTTACTTGTTTGACATAGTAGGAGTCTTTAATAATAAGCACACATATTAATCTTTGTACATGTTTTCTGTAGAAAATGGCAAATAACAACACATCCACTTTTTCCCTGCGATCCGTCCTTGAGAAGGAAAAACTGAACACAACCAACTTCCTAGACTGGTTTAGGAATTTGAGAATTTTTCTCAAGCATGAGAGGAAAGACTATGTCCTCGAGAATGCAATTCCTGCTGAAGAACCAGCAGCTAATGCCCCTCGTGCTCAAAAGGATGCATATCAGAAGCATCTAAATGATGATTTGGATGTTTCGTGCCTCATGCTTGCTAGCATGAACGCTGATCTGCAAAAACAGTTTGAGAACTTAAGTGCTTTCGACATGGTTAAGGAACTAAAAGGTTTGTTTCAAGAACAAGCTAGAGTTGAACGCTATGAGACTACTAAGTCTTTGTTCTCATGCAAGTTTCACGAGGGAAGCTCTGTTAGCCCCCATGTACTCAAAATGATTGGGTACATTGATCACCTTGAAAGGTTGGGGACAACCATTAGCCAAGAGTTGCTACTGATGTCATTCTCCAGTCGTTGCCAGAATCATATGATGGTTTCATCATGAATTTCAACATGCACAACCTGGAGAAGACATTGAATGAGCTTCATGGAATGTTGAAAACGGTTGAGCAGAACATTGTTAAGAAAAGGAAGAATGATGTTCTAGTGGTTCAAAAGGGAAAGGGTTTCAAGAGACATGGAACTAAGAAAGGAAAGGGCAAGGGCAAAACTCCAGTTAAGAACTGGAAAAACAACAAGGTGAAATCTGAGCCCAAGCCCAATCCACAAGTTGAAATGTTATGCTTCCACTGCAATGAAAAGGGTCATTGGAAGAGGAACTCTAAGAAATACCTTGAGGAAAAGAAGGGAATGAATTCTTCTAAATCAGGTACTTACGTTATAGAAGTAAATGTTACTTCAGCTTCTTCTACTTCTTGGGTATTAGATACTGGAAGTGCATCTCACATTTGTACAAATGTGCAGGGGTTAAAAAGGAGTAGGAAGCTAGCTAAAGGGGAAGTGGACCTACGAGTTGGAAATCGAGCAAAAGTTGCCGCTTTAGCCGTAGGGACACTCGAAATACCTTTGCCTTCAGGACTTATTTTAGAATTGAATAATTGCTACCATGTACCTTCGTTTAGCAGAAACATTATTTCTATTTCCTTGTTGGACAAGGAAGGTTTTGAATTTAACTTTAAGAACAATAGTTGTTCGTTTTCTAAGAATAATGTGCACTATGGTTTTGGCCAATTATTGGATGGTCTTTACATTCTAAATCTTGAAATAGATATCTATAACGTAAGTAGTAAGAGAATCAAGTCTGATGATTCTAATCCTACTCTTCTATGGCATTGTCTCTTAGGCCACATAAATGAGAAACGCTTACAGAAGCTCCATAAAGATGGTCTTCTAAGTTCATTTGACTTCCAGTCTCTTGAACGTTGTGAATCCTGTTTATTGGGAAAGATGACTAAGAGTCCATTCATTGGTAACAACGAAAGGGCAAGTGATCTTTTGGGACTCATTCATACCGATGTATGTGGACCACTAAACATACATGCTAGAGGAGGATATCAATACTTCATCACATTTACTGATGATCTCAGTAGATATGGTTATGTTTATTTGATGAAACATAAATCAGAATCTTTTGGAAGATTCAAGGATTTTCAGAATGAAGTACAAAATCAACTTGGTAAGAGTATTAAAATTCTTCGATCAGATCGAGGAGGAGAATATTTAAGCCATGATTTCAATGATCATCTTAAAAGTTGTGGCATCATTTCCCAACTTACTCCACCAGGAACACCACAGTGGAATGGTGTATCAGAAAGGATGAATCGGACTCCGTTAGACATGGTTCGATTAATGATGAGTCAGACTTCCCTTCCAGCATCCTTTTGGGGATATGCTCTTGAAACCGCAGCATTCACACTGAATAGATCTCCATCCAAGGTTGTAGAAAAGACACCTTACGAGTTATGGACTGGAAAGGTTCCTAGTTTATCATTTTTCAAGATTTGGGGATGTCAAGCTTTCGTTAGACGATTGACCAGGACTAAATTAGAACCCAAATCAGAGAGATGCTTCTTTGTTGGATATCCTAAAGAAACCAAAGGATATTACTTCTATAACCAGACTGAAAACAAAGTGTTTGTAGCTCGGAATGGTGTCTTCTTAGAAAGAGAATTTCTTTCAAAGGAGAACAGTGGGAGCAAGATACATCTTGAAGAAATTCGAGATGAAATTGATGCTCTCAATAAAGAGCCTGAATCAAATATGCAAATAGGTTCACATGCTCCAGAAGAAGTGACAACCTTACGAAGGTCAAGTAGGCCACGTCGAGAACCCGAGAGATATTCATTTATCGTCTCAAATGAGAAAGACGTATTGTTGTTAGACAACAATGAGCCACTCACTTTCAAGGAAGCGATGGAGAGTTCTAGTTCCGAAAAATGACAAGAAGCCATGAGATCCGAAATGAAATCCATGTACGACAATCAAGTATGGGACTTGGTTGACTTGCCAGATGGCTATAGAGCCATAGAATGCAAATGGATTTTCAAAATAAAGCTTGATAAGGATGGCAAGATCGATGTCTATAAGGCTCGATTGGTTGCAAAAGGATATCGACAAATTCATGGTATTGACTATGATGAATCCTTTTCCCCAGTTGTCATGTTTAAATCAATCAGGATACTTTTAAGCATCGCCGCATATTATGACTATGAGATATGGCAAATGGATGTCAAAACTGCTTTCCTAAATGGATTCCTTGAAGAGGATGTGTACATGACACAACCTGAAGGTTTTTTCGATCCAATAAATGCTAATAAAGTATGCAAGCTTAAGAGATCCATATATGGTCTTAAGCAAGCATCTCGGAGTTGGAATCTTCGTTTTAATGAAGTTGTCAAAGAGTTTGGTTTCATGAAAAACGAAGAAGAACCTTGTGTATACAAGAAGGTCAGTGGGAGCGCAATAATCTTTCTGGTATTGTATGTAGATGACATACTACTCATTGGAAATAATATTCCCATGCTTCAATCTGTTAAGACTTGGCTGGGAAATTGTTTTTCAATGAAAGACTTGGGAGAGGCAACCTATATATTAGGGATCAAGGTCTATAGGGATAGATCAAGAAAACTAATAGGATTAAGTCAAAGTACATACATTGACAAAATCTTAAATAGGTTTTGCATGCAAAACTCTAAGAGGGGATTCTTGCCAATGACACATGACATAACACTCAACAAGACTCAGTGTCCTCAAACACAAGATGAGCGAGATCGCATGGATGGAATCCCATATGCTTCGGCTATAGGATCTATCATGTATGCCATGTTATGTACTCGTCCTGATATAGCACATGCATTGAGTGTGACTAGCAGATACCAGTCAGACCCTGGTGAGGGCCACTGGACCGCTGTCAAGAATATTCTAAAGTACTTAAAAAGAACTAAGGATATGTTCTTGGTCTATGGCGGACAGGAAGAATTGGTTGTAAGTGGGTACACTGATTAGGGTTTTCAGTCAGACAAGGATGACTTCAAATCGCAATCCGGTTTTGTGTTTTGTCTAAACGGTGGAGGTGTGAGTTGGAAGAGTTCTAAGCAAGACACAGTTACTGATTCTACAACGGAAGCTGAATATGTTGCTGCTTCAGAAGCAGCAAAGGAAGCAGTATGGATAAAGAAGTTTATCACTGAGCTTGGTGTCCTTCCTAGTAGCACCGATCCAATAGATTTGTATTATGACAACAATGGAGCGATTGCTCAGGCTAAAGAGCCAAGGTCACACCACAAGTCTAAGCATATTCAAAGACGTTATCACCTGATACGTGGGTTTATAAGTAATGGTGATATAAAGATGTGAAAAGTTTCCACGAATGAGAACGTTGCTGATCCTTTGACCAAGCCGCTTTCTCAATCCAATCATGATAGACATATCAGTGCAATGGGCATTCGTTTCATGAATGAATGGTCCTAGTGCAAGTAGGAGACTGAAAAAGATATGCCCTAGAACTATTCATATGTGTATGACTTATAGTTCGATATCTTATGCTTATTAATAAGGTTTATTTTATTTCACCTTATATTCTTAAATATAGTATATTATCATTACTAGTTCACCAAGTATGTGACTTGGTTGTGGAATACTAGTCATTTCGTAAAATATACTATGTCCCTAATCATATCTCTATAATCTAGGATTACGTAGACATATTGATTAGAGTATGGGTTAGCTGATGACTATGTTCCACAAGTCATGAATATGGTGATATCAAGCTGAACACACTAATACTTGTTGGTGAACAAATATTGGACCGATCCGTTTTGGGTACACTGCAAGGAAATGTTATAAATGTCATCAGTGATGTTCCCTTTAGTGAAATCATATTGTCCTCACACCTGAGATCGCCATGGTTACCAATATAGGGATTAATACATTAGACATTATCAAACGTTACTCCTAAATGAGTAACTATAAAGATAATGATCAAATGTATTATGAAATATATAGAGGTATGTGGTTGGCTAAGATGAGATTTGTCACTTTCATATATTGAGAGAAGATATCTTTGGGCCCCTTGATAAGTATATTTAATTATATCATGGCCATGCACAAATGAGGTGTCATTTGTATTAAATATACTTGGAAATCAAGATACAATGATTGAACTATACAAGAATGACACTCGCCTAGTCTTGTGTTCAATCTAGATATCGTTTGGCAAAAGGAATATATATGTGACATAATATATACTCCCTCCGTCCCGCTAGAAGGTTCCCGTGAACGGTTTACGATGCTTGACTGACGATAAAGCAACTTAATCCCTATTCACATTCTGATTATTTTTAGTAGATAAAATTAACATATTCAGAAACTACATTAAAACCGCTGCAAAGCCTGATAAAAAAAATGTAAATTTGGTAAAAATTTGATTTATAAAGTAAAAGATTAAAAATGATTTAAGTTGACCATGAGAATAGTGGACGGGAACCTTCTAATGGGACGGAGGGAGTATATAAGTTGTGTCGTTTTGAATTTTATATCCTTTGGATAACAATAATGTCTTACTAGAGCCCGCTTTTTATTTGTATAATTAAAAGAGTATTTAATTATACTACCAAAGGAATATAAACCTATAGGGTCGCACTCTAAAACGTTTTGGATCAAAATCGGATAGTGTTTGGGTCCGAATGACTTCAAGCCCATATCCGTTTGTTGCTAGGGTTTTCTATATTATGTTCTCTATAGAAGGAGGAGTCTAAGAGCTTAAGAGGGCTGGCCATTCTCACACATACATGAGACAAAACATAATTTGAGAAAACCCTTTTTGGATGCTAGTACATTGAGCAAGTCTGATCCGATCATGTGTGCACACCGTAGAGGCGTGGTACTTTCTACGCTAGAACGACATAAACAAGTGCTAAGACCTAGGTTTTCATTGATCCATCAAAAGGTATGGTTTCATACGAACTTATAATGATTTGTTTCTTGATTTGTTGCAAACTATATTGCTTATTAGTAATTGAAGTTCATGGAATAGTATAGATCCTTTTGTAAATGTTTTTGCTTCGTATCAAGCATGAGATGCATGTTCATAGCTCGTTTCCTAACACCTCTTCCATGTGAATTATGTCTTTTTTGACTGGACTCTCCAAGCGAGTTTTGTGAGAGGAAGGCTTGCTCAATTGGGCTGTGTAATCGATTCTCATTCATTTTTTGTTCATGTACTCTCAACGAACCTGATAGCAACTTCACTGTCATTGTGGACAGGTCATGAGCCTCCTCAATAGTTGCCACTACATGTTTGAACCTTGGTGTTAAGGTTCGTAGGATCTTTTCAACCTTACTCTACTCGGTCAAGGTTTCACCATTACTCTTCATGGCATTTGTTAAAGCAAGAATTCTGGCAACAAAGGCATCCACTGTCTCGTTTGTCTCCATCTGCAAGAGTTCATATCGACGTTGTAAAGTTTGTAGGCGTACCTTCTTGATTTTCTCATCACCTTTGTAGGAAGTTGCTAGAGCACCCCAGGCATCTTTGGATGTGTTGGCACTTTCAATCAACTCAAAGGTTTCATCATTCATTCCTTGATGAATGAGATACAAGGCTTTCTTGTCTTTCTTCTTTGCTTCACGATGGGCAGTTCTCTGTGCCTCAGTAGCATTGTCAGCCAATGTCTCAACTCCTCTCTCTTTGACATCCATCAAATAATGTGATAGAGTATATAGACTCGGACCCCCGGGTCTCACGACTATTGGGCCCAGACAGCGGCCCACACACGTCTTACGGATATCATTTGTATTATTGTACTGTTTATATGTCATTTGTAGGTACTAGATTAGCCTTTTATATTATCAGTTCATTTATGTAACCGCGTCTGTTGGACCCATATTAGAGGCCCAGACCCGGATTTCCCTATTTATACTCCTCTTGGAGCCTCTTGTAACCCTAAGTCATTAGAACACAACTCTCATTTCTATATTCATACACATTACTACACTTCATCTTCTTCACTTTCATAGCTCAAATCTCTCCATTT